TCTGTAATTTATAAAATATTTTATGTGATCATTGTCATTTTTTTTTTTAAATATAATATTACAAGAAATAAATAATTCAAATACAAATAAAGGATATATAAATATATCTGTATGTTTTTGCCATTTAGCGTTGTTTTGAAGTTGAGATTCACAAGATCCAATTATGTATGCCACGCCCCAAATAAGGGATGTCAACAGTAGAGTTCGCATGATTTGTTTAGCTCTAAAACTGTAAAAGATATAGTTTTGTCCGATGGACGTAGATATATCCGCCATATTTGATTGATTTTGGGCTGTTAAGTCTCTAGCATTGATACATTAATTACATACATTATTTACACATAAAACATATAAAAATAAAAACTTGGGCACGAGTCCAATTTTCATAATTTTCAACAACCAAAATTGACTTGACCAGAGTTCGTACCTCAGGCTCTCAGCATTTCAGTCCGCGCCTCAACCCACGCCGCCATGGCATCTGCTGCCCAAGCAGCGACAAATGTCAGCCTAACGAAGCAGCAGGTAAAGCAAAAAGTGCAATGGCGATTGTATTTACAACAGCCAATCAGCATGCACACAGCTGAATGCAAGATCGCAATAACTGTTCTCTTTATACACAGATTGCCAATGGGCGAGCGAGCTTTTGAAAGCGTATGATAGAGGGCGCTAGAGCAATTTTGTCGTTTGACGAGAAGCGTTTGCTTTCGTAACTTTTTTGTTTCTCAACGAATATCAATGAAATTTTCAGCAGTGAGCCTTGATATGCCCAAGAAACATGCGTGAAATCTCCAATTTAAAGGAAAGTCGAACATAATACAATTAAATGTGACTCAGCTTGCCATTCAGCCAACGATTGGGAGCTAAGAATTGGCATATTATTTAAAGGCAATTTTTATTGCATTAGCCCAAATCACATAAATCACAAGTAAAAGAAGAAGAAGAAGCAGGGGCACGGGAGCAGCAATCAAAAATGAAAACTGAGCCAGTTTTCGAGAATACATTTTCATTTTCATTTATATTTGTTGCTTTTTTTTTTTTGTTCTTTTTTGGCAACGTTTTTAATTTCAATTAGCACGGCGACAATAAACCGGAAGCTGCAAGGGGAGATTAGTCAAGCTAGCAAGGCCGGGGGCTGGGGTCAGCTGGAGGTGAAAAAAAGGGGAAAATGGTTTTGCCTTTGCTTGGAAGCCACTTGATTTATGTGGCTTCATTAGACATTCCGCACATAGCCAGAACTAGAATGAGAGAGAGAGATAGAAGGAGCCACAGCAAGAGAGAGAGGACAAAAGTGAGCTAAGTGATTGCCAAAAAAAAAAAAAAAGAGCTAAATGCGTACAATTAGAACGGCTAACAGTCAAACGCATTACTTTGCCATGCCTGGCGGCAAGGAAAAAGGCATGCCCCTTGTGTAGTGGAGTAGTTTTGATACCCAGTACCGATGCTGTGCAATTTTATTCAACAGTCAGCAGGAAGCATAGCAGGGGCCATAAAAATATAAGTTTCTGATCAGAACGACACGATTCCATTCGTCTGTCCCTCTGACTGCCTATATAACTCTCCTTCCTTTCATCTGTTTCTTCTTCAGTCTGATTCTTCATCTATCCTGGTATTCATTCTTCCTTCTTCCTGTCCTTTCATGACCGTCCGCCTCCCTTTCTGTTCATCATTCTGTCTATGCCTTTATCCGCACTTCTGTCCCTCCGTCGTTCCATTCATCCACCGTCTCTCCTTATCCGCCTCTTTAAACGCATCGATCTCATTACATACACAAGCTAAAGAGCTGCAACTTTAGATATTCTCGTAAGTTGGACATTGGCAAGGTATCTCATAGTTGGGCATACCCAGCGAGAGTACTTTAGTTGCCGTTAGTTTGAATATTGACCAGCCTGAAATATTTTTGGTTGCCATCAAAACAGTTTGAAAAAAGGACCGCAAACAACTGCCAATGTGTGCGAATGTGTGTGTGGGCGAGTGTGTGTGTGTGTGTGGTCTATAAAAAGGTTCGCTGTTTGTTCGTGTGAGCCGCAAAAATATTTGCATAGTTACCTTTAATGTGGTTCGACAACGTTTTAGACTTCAAATTTGCGGATGGGCGGATGGGTGCCAAACGGGGCGTCGCGGGGCGGCAAGGTGAGCCGTTGAGGGGGCGTGGCATTGGGCAATGGGGCAAAGGGGCAAGCCTGCTGTCAATAGACGCCAGGCAAAAGTTCTTCAACAATATAAACGGAACAAAAGTTTTCTTTACACACGCACACACACACACACACACAGACACACACACATGCATACACTTGCTGCATGTAATTTAAAATGAAAAATTCTATTCTTTTGACACACACTCGCACACACACACACACACACTTAGCACAACAAGCATTGATTTCATTTGCATAAATAAGAGAAGAAGAAGAAGAAGAAAAAAAGTAAAGAGAATTTTCATTAGCTGACGTAAATCCCCGCCAGACATCTGCCAATTGCATTCATACATACATATATATGTATGTGTGTGTATATAATATCAGTAACAACTCTATAGCCTCTATGTGGCGTCTATATAGAATTAAAGTCCCATATTGTCCTTGATATACATGATATTTTGATACCAAAGACTTTATAATCGAATATATTCGACATGAAAGTAATATCTTTATCAGGAACCGTAACGATTATAACTTTTATGGCAAAAAATTAAAAAATTAAAATTATTTTTTGAGTAATTACAAAAAAAAAATTTTTTGAGTTATTAAAATTAATTTTT